AAGGCAGTAAGGAGTCATTTCGTTTTGGGGAGGGAATGCATGTAGGAAAAAGGGATAAATGACCGTAATGACCGATGTTGTGCCAGCCGGGGACCGACATAGGTCTCACTCGATTCCGTACTACCCTGTACCATAGCATACCATACTCCCCCTTCTATCATACCATAATACCAGCCGTAGCAGCAATCAACAAAACAGGAAGTTGCTAGTACGACGAGCATGAAGAAAACACGACGATCCGAAAATCCCACTTCCTCTTCCTCCGTTCATACCTTCGGGTCTGTGCTGAAGCTCAATGTGTCCTTCGGCGGTTCGTTAATGTGCTTTTCTTGCCCTTCGTTAACGTATGTATTTGTCAAATGTTATTGTTACCTAAAATATAACAAGGCATTTAGAGATCTCGAAAAGAGGAAAGAAAGGAAGCTCAGTGTCACGTGAAGGAAGAGCGTACGTCAGTTCAAGAACTACTGGTGGTGCAGACGAGTATCATGGCTGTAGGTTGCTTCAATCAACTATCGATGCTACCTGGAGAGGACAAGATCTCTCTTTGGACTACTGGTAATTCACCATCACCACCGAACAATTCCAGCCTATTCCATTCTTGTTGGTCACCCATTCCTAATGCATCCGAATCTTTGCCGTCACCCTGGCATTCCGTCTACAGTTGGATCAGTAGCACAGGACAGGCAAGTCTTACACTTACGCATTTTTACAAATGCAATTGAAAATATTTTCAAGAAGATAGATTAGTATCCACTAATTAAGGTCCACAAGATAAGTATCCGATAATTTCTAAGCCATTAATTTTTCGAGAAATGAGTTATTGGTCATTGTTAAGAACACTGTTACTCATATTAGTTTTGGGAATGTAAATTCCATTCCAATTTTTTCTTTATTATCAACATTGACTGCTTGAGAGCGAGAGAGAGGGAAAGCGAAAACGGTTGGGTCAGCGGTCAACACAGCTCATCGTAGTCAAATGGCTAGGCATTTTGTTTCTCCGCTTTTATAGCTTACATACAAATTCTAATCTAACAATGCATTATCAACGTGCAAACAATATATATAACTATTTAACAATAAACATTAAACTCTCTGAAAAAGAAGCAATAAGAAAACGTTTTTTTTTTTTGTTTCTATTGATTTCGAACTTCTACAAATTTAATTCTATTTCTCTCCATAGATACTTTTATCAAAAGTTCGGAGAAGTGAAATAACTATTTTGAATTGAAGTTTCAAAAAAGTTTGAATACTTTGAATAAACTTTATAAAATTTATTTGAAAGAAGATCTACAAAAAATTACTTGTTAAAAGTACCTTGAATGATTTCTCTTCCATATATAGCGATGAAGATTTTTTTATTTAAGCCTAAGTGAGGTTTCACTGAAAAGGTGAATTCATGAAAATTTCCGGTAAATAATCGATGCAACTTTCAGGATGGTACCAATAGCGATCACACAGACAGTTTGCATTCAGAAGCAGATCCACAGGCTTCTCCAGTACAATCACAAAAATCACCCACATGCTTCTATTATGCAAATATCTGGAGGAAATCAGCGGAGGAACCTTATCAGACAAGCGAAACAATTCCCACATTTTCATGTCCTCCTCAATCAACTTCCTTATCTTCATCATTTGTATTAGAACAGAATGTATCTCGAACAGTACGGTATGCTCCACCACCACCACCACCGCCACCACCACCACCACCGCCACAACCGCAACCTCAACCTCAACCATATCTTACCGGTAATGGTATGGTACCATCATCAGCACAAACCATGCCTTTTTTTAATGGCGAGAAAGAATATGATCTTATTCAGGTGACTATTTTTTTTACCATCTCACCTTTTCTTTTGTGAAATATTTCACCCATTTTCTCCTTCCTAGACCGTATAATCATACTGCATTCCAGGAACTGCTGAAGTTAAACATCCAGGGTTGTATTGGATCAGGATCCGGAATGGGCACACTAAGCCAGAATTCACTAAATACTGCGTCACTGCATACAAAGTTGCAAGATGTGAAACAGGACAAAGGTTCACTTCCAGTGAAAGCTGTTGCAAAATTCCCCGCCGCATACGATACAGGTACCACTAAGCAGCGCACGTCCAACACAGTACCGCTTGAACAACAATCAAATCAACTGTATTCCCCTCATCAACAAAAATTAGATTTACTAAACTGTTGGTCATCAACAACACCCTCACATCAAATATCCACTGGTAAGCATTCCAATTACACCACGCAGTTCACGTAAGTCTAACCTAATCTGCTAGTAATAATTCTGTCCGGTAATCCGGAACTTTGCTATTCTTCATGGCCATTATGGAAGCAATTACTTCGAGTTTATTGAAGTATATTTTATACTTTACGATTCTCTTTCCATGCATAAGTTTGAAAATATTACATACTCGGACAAAAGATCCTTTCATAAGACTGCTTTAGAGATTTAGTCAAGTTTAATTTTAGTGATGCCTCGTCCTGTAGTTGGCCAGAATGCGGTGATGAAGAGAGGATCATCGCCAAGAGAGGATGGAGAACTGGACCCCATTGTGGCGGAAATGTTACGTCAACAGGCATTATACGAACATTTATGTGGTGTTTATCTGTCTGGACAGTTACCAGTACCACCCATCTTCAAATTATACACTCCGCCGGTAAATAATATTTTATATTCCATTATTTCATACTATTTTAAAAATGTTCCAATAAGAAATGTGCATAGTATTGCTTACAGCTAAGGTCATATCGTAGTTCAACATCTGCGCTGGAATTACATTTACGTCTGGAAGAATGTACCGAGCAGTATCGTCAATTGGAGAAAGAACGTAAAAAGACAGAGGCGGAATTAGCCCGACACAATCTCGGTAAAAAAATATCCTCAACTAATAATATGCCAATTCCTCGTCTCGTGCAAGTGCCCTCCAGAATCGACCGTCTCATTGTTGATTTCTTCAGGTATTTTCTTGATCCATCTCAATTCATGAATTTGAAACGGTCCACCTTGCTCCTAACATTCTCTCAATACTTAGCAATATTTTTTGCAGGGAGCATGCACGCGTTGTTACATTATTGGCAAAAATGGAGCAACTTCGAGAAGCACCACTGCCACTTGCGGTTCACGTTGCATTGCGTGAATTGCATGATGCAATTAAAGTGTTACAGCAATGTCGAATTAATGAAAGGCATGTCATATTGCAGCATCTTCGCGGTGAAATGATCCGATTCAATGAAGATTTAGGTAGGTTATTCATTAATTAACAATTAATTGTGCTCGTTTATGGAAGTGCTGTAAAATGAGATGAAGATTGGATTTCAGAGACGAGTACGTTGACGACAGCTCTGACAAACATATGCAGAGCAGTGGTCAGAGCTCGAGCAGCAAATTGGTGTTCCCTAATGTGGACTATTGGTGTGGACGCGGATAGCGAGCAGCATATCGATCGAATTCTCAGTGCTGACTTCCAGATAGCACCTCCGGAAATCAAGCATCGTCCTGTTTAGACCCTCACGAAGGGTTTTGTAGGCCTGCTTTGTGAGGCATTATTGTTAAGCTAACCCGGCAATACCAACCACTCTATCTTCCTGCTCTGTACTTAATCATTCTAGCGGTCACTTGTTCTAGTTATTTTTGGCTGGTTATTTTCTCATTAGTCTCTTTGCTTCTTTTTTTCAAATATATAAATTTTGTACGATACATGCATATATACTCGAGCTTAATATTGGAATAATGATGGCTTATTTGTTACCTGATTTATTAATTATTCCTTCATTAGTTTTGAGATTGTACGAGAGTGAGATTGTACGAATGTTCACTTAGCGTCATTGCTTCCATATATATCCCTTATATGTCAACAGATTTAATTTTATACTGCACTTTCCACAATGTCTTTTCAGGAATTTCATTCCCTCAGGTATTTAGAATTTGCTTCAAAATTAATTGGTTAATTGTGGAATTGATATGTGCAGTGTTTGCACAACATCACAACACCATTATTTATCATCTAAAAAGGGATTATTTAAATATTAAACTGATAGATTACCACATTCACTATCATCTGAAGAATTTTACCTTTACTATTATCTCATAGAGAGGTACTATATCTGCTATCATCTGATGGAGTGTCACATCTACTGCCATTTGATAGAGTCGAGTATCACATGCACTTACCCAATAAGACAGTATTGTTTATGTCTACATATTTAATTATGGTAATTAATAACGTTGTATTTGTATTATAGGAGGAGACGCTTTGTGCTCTTTAGACTTTGTTCATTTAGAATAATACTTTTTTCTTACGAGCGATAATTATTCAAAAACTAGTGAAAAACATTATCCGATTTGTAGTGAAGAATGCTTATCTCAAATGAAAATTTTAAAGTGATATGATCCTAATTAGATCAGTAATGACATTACTAAGTAAGCAGAGTATGGGATAAATAATTTTGAAAAGTATTCGCTCGTAAGAATACGTGAAATAGTTATGTTAGTTGGCATAGTATCATTTATTTACTCAACTATTATTTGTTGTACATCTTTGAAATGATATTTGGAAAGTTCGCTTCCTTGATAACAACCTCATCTGGAATCATGCAGTTCTTCTATCTGTCCTTGTATGTATCCGTTGTGCATTTGTTTTTTTTTCACTTTCTCGCACTAACTATAATCTGTTTGGTACAGAAAATTTGTGAATCGATCACCTTCGCCTTATTCCGGGTAATTTCTAGGTATTTGTCAAGTATTTTCTTGACATCTTCCTAAATTATGCATTATCTGAAATTAATGAGTCAACAAGTTGGGACATTCATACACTTCCTTCCCTCCCATCCACCTTCATAACTAGTATTAGCACATATTAGTTAGTTATAAAAGGTGTTTGGTGAGATTACAATAAATCCTGCTACTCCACAAAAAAAGGACACTCATACACTTCCCCTTCTCCCATCCACTGGAACTTAGTAGTTAAATTCTCAAGTAGCTTTACTTTTATGGTATGTCTCTCCCGAAACGCACTGTGATTCTACTGCTCACTTATGACGAACTTATATAAGCTAGAACCCAATCGTCACACGAATTATGTAGTTGTTACCTTATGAACTGCCTTTATTTCGCAATTGTCTGTTCATGTCAATCCAGTTTCTTTAGTATTTATTTCGAACGAATTATTGAAATGTTTTTCAAGAAATTAATTTGCTTTTAAAAACATTATAAGCAAACAAGCAGAGAGCAACAAGCATTTTCTTTCCCTTCATGTCATTAAAGCGTCAACGAATAGAAATCTCTGAACTGCGATATAATACTGTCCATACGTACTTTCGTATCGAAAAACGTTTTATCAACTCAATAACTTTAAATACATAAATCATGATTTTCCTTGAAGGTAAAATCAATTTTGCCATATGTTAAGCGCCCAATAATTCGTTCCCTAATTTTGAAAACTTGATAAATAAGTCCAGATCACAATAAGAACGGAAATTACACAATCAATCATAACTGAACAGAAAGCGTCCCGTAGATAGATTACGCCGATGGGTCCTCCTTGACTTTCGTCTTCTTTTCTTTTTCTCGTTTGTCTGGGCTATCATCATCACTTCTGTGACGTCTAGAATGCACGTCTTTATGTAATGCAAAGCAAGACATTCAAAAAAAGATGAAGGATCGATCATCTTAATAACCTAATTTGTTTCGAGAAGAGCAGGATCCAAAGATTATAGAAAAACTAAAACCACATAAGAATGACAAGCCATATCTCATTTCTTGTCATATAAGAACAGAACAGTTCTTTCTTTCATGTTGCAAGCAGTTAATGCTTGGTGGCATGTAGCATGACAACAATTGAAATTCTCACCACAGAAGTAATTTTTTCAATCGTTTCCATACTATCCAAATCCTTTAAAAAGAACAAAATATAACCTTCTCTTCCTATCTCTATCCTTGCCTTTATCTTTGTCTCGATCATTTCTTTCCGAATCGTCCTTTTTTCTTTCGCTTCCTTCCCTTTTATCATCATCCTTTTCCTCTGCAAGCTCTTCTTTTGTCCGAGTTCCCGACTCATCTTTCTTATTTCTTCGCTTCTCCTTCTCCTTATTATCGCGGTCTTCTTTTCTTCGTGAACTGCGTGAACCTAATATAAAATGGAATTAGTAACGTTTTGAACTCAAAACAATTCCGTTAATATTAAAATGTCAGTGAAGAGATTCATAAATCATAAATCTCAACAAAAACATATTTATTTATCGTTTTTATCCTAAATGTGCAGCAAGACTAATGGATATGCAGTACCAATTTACACAAATACTTCAAAACACCATTCCAACAACACAGCACATCAGAAAAAAACAGGCAAATAAGAAACGCTAGTATCAGTATACTTGGTAATTCTGCAAGATTTTATCTGCAAGAAATAGAAATCAAATCCGTGCTTGCATAAATTTTAATCATAAAGTTGGTTTACTCAATCAGAGCTCAAAGGATAAGTTATGCAAAACTAACTTTCATAAGGAGAACCACTTCGTGAGCGGTGTCGTCTCGACCGTGATTCTCTATCACGGTCCTTTTCTCTATATCTCTCTGAGTCTCGATCTCTATCTCGATCATCGCGATGTCGTCTCGAAGACCTATCAACAATTAAACTGCCATTTGCAAGTTGATAATAATTTCAAAAATCATCAAAGTTATAGACTGTTGTCTAGAAACTTGGATCAGTTAAAAGAAATAGCGACAGACTATACCGTGGGGAGTATGACCTGGATCGCCTCCGATACCTTCGTCGACTGCTGCTATAATCATCTTCTCCACTATAAATGGCCAAAACTAATTTACATAGCAATTTCCAACAAGTTTCAGCAATATTTTATTTTCCAAAGAAGTTCAGTAACAGGAAACAATAAAAGTTTATTTCTTGCAAAATAATAAAAAGTTTATCCGAGAAGCCTGAAGTGCAGAAAGTTGTCACATGATAACTAAAAAATATAGGGTTACAGACTTAGTTCGACAAATTTATCCCGAAATTAGCTAAAAATACTAAGAAAAAGTATACCTATCAGCTGAGTCACGATCCCTTTCACGTTCACGACATCGATCACGATCAGATCGGTCTTTATCATCATCTTTGAGTTCCCGACGATCCAAACCAGGGGGTGGGAAAGTTGGTCTAGACATCAGCGGGGGAGGCCTTGGAAGTGGAGTTGCTGGAGCACCTAAAATGTACTGCTTTTAATTCATACCACTTTCAAAATTTTAACTTAAATTGAGGATACTATAACATAAAGTTACCGAATCGTGGCGGTGGGAAGTTGAGTGGTGGTTGTGAAAAGTTAGGTGGAGGTACGCTGAAACCAGGCGGTGGTACATTCGTATTTGGTAACCCAAGTCTGACTGACGGTGGTGCACCAATTCCCGGCGGTGGCAGCATCGGATTAAACCTAAATTGACATGTTAAAAATGTAGAAATTGCTGTTTTCAGTAACACAATTTTGAATTCTTATCCAAAAAAAAATTACGAACTGCCTAAAAAAAGTAATATGAAACAAATACCCGGGCGGTGGTATAGAGGTGTCAACCGTGGGAATATGTCGCGCGTTCATATCGTTAAAACTCGGTGGCGGCGTAGAGGAACCAGGTGGAGCTGGTTCATCCACTCCTGGTGGACCATCACTAGCGACCGGTAAACTGGGAAGGGCTGAGACAGTCGGTATCGGTACGTTACTGAAAATATATTAGAATAAACTGAGAGTAATTGGAATGTGGAAACAAACTAAATAAAAGCATAGAACAAGAAAGTTACAATAAGAGAAAGATTAGAAATTGACCTTTTATTAGCGGCATTTGTAATATCAATAACCGGTGGCGGTTTTGAGAAATCTGGTGGGGCTTTCGTAAAATCTGGAGTCCCTGATGTAGTAGCAGTTGCTAAGGATGGAACAGAATTGTCTGGAACCAAAGGTGCCACTACTCCATCACTAGTGCCATCCAGGACACTAACTGTCTATAGAAAAGGAATAAATAAAAACAAACAATAGACATTCCGTCCTGATGCTCTTTGTAAAAATATAGAGACTTATCTGAGGGATTTATCTACGAAACAATAATGAAATGGATACAGTACTCGAAATGACCTTACATTTGTTGAAAAAATGGGATACGATTGAGCTGGTGTTCTTAATCTATCAAATTGATATTTCAATTAAAAACCAAAACAAATGATATTATTTCCTGTTTCTTAGTTACAGAAAAGATTTATTCTTTCTGAATCGTAAACAGAAACTTACAGAAACAGACAAGGACGTGCCAGAAGTCCCACCAGAACCAACTGTTCTCGGCGCTGCACCAGTCAACACAGTGCGTATTATGGGCTGTTGATTCTAAATAAGCAAGAATGAACTTTGACAAATCTCAATTTTATGACTTAATTTACCCTTAAAAAACCCCTGGAACATACCGCCTCTAATTTGAAACCGCTGAGATCCATTGATGATTTCTCCTGTCCCAGAATCGGAATCGTTTGTAGCTGCCGACCACCTGAACCAAAACAAATAAATAATGAAGTATAAAAATAAAGTCAAACATATATAAATAATAAAGTCAAAAAACATATATGTTAATATCACACCATGGATCCTTTCATATTGCTTTTGTGAAATATTATTTACCAAATTTGACATCCAAACCAAAAATATATATATGTGGAAAAAGATATAAATTGGTATTAGAAAAGAAAGAACTCCCGAAAATATTAACTCCTTGATACTTCTATTTTGATGAATAAATATCGGTGGAATTCAAAGCACAGTGATGAAAGTTACCTGTCAAAGTAGCACTCTGTGAAACGGGAGCGACAAGAGTAATACTCGAGAAAAGAGCTTTGTTAACAGAAGCTTGCGTATTATATTCAGATCTCAGTTTTCTCTGTCTCTCGCAATACATATTCCATGTTTCTGTAAACTGTCTTATAAAACTGTATTTTACATTAGAATATGAAAATATTATAGCTGTATTCCATATTAGAATATTTCCAGAGCACAACCTTCACAGAATCCATAATTGAAATAATCTGTAATGTCGGCACCAGGTTTTCGCCAAGGTCTCTCCTCCATCTGTGCCAGATCTAAGTCGTATATTGGTTCCCCATTGATTGTCGGAGTTCCATCTATATCAAGTTTACCAACGCTACTTCCGGCTGCTTTCTAAATTTACTCCGACTTTTGTATGGCATCCATAAGAACGTAATCACATTACTAAAAGACTAATTTAAGTGTTCCAATTTCCCTTCCAATCTTCTTAAAATCAATAGACTTACCGCAGCAGAAAATGGAACATTTTGCTTGATTTGTCCAATAGTGACAACTACTTCTTCGTCATCACTGTCATCATCATCACCCAATAATTCATCTTCCACATCCTTAACCCATTCCTTTAATCATTATAGAAAAACAAATAATATTTCTAGAAGATTGCATTAAGAAAATAATTCAAATATGATCAGAAAGGAAACCTGAGAAAACGTAGTTGTCGTATCAGGTATGACGTTTTGTTCACTATCGCCATTAATAGCCACGTCTATTTCGCTGCTTCCCACCTGGCTATCTTCTTCATCATGTGGAGGCAAGGGCTCTTCATAGTGCTCTTCTGATTCGAGAAGCGCCCCCTCAGACATAATGTATTCAAACGACTTTAGAACTCTCGCTGCAACGATTCCTTCTGAAATTTAGAAAAAGCGGTACTCCATTTTCAATTAATTGAAATTATTGAAACAGAATTCATGCTCACTTTAAGCTAATCCGAAAGTATACTGGAAAAAACGCGGAACTATTACCCGACCCAAAAACATTTTTTTCACTATGTATTGTTTTAAGCTAACTGCAAATGACCTGAAAACTTAATGTAAATACAATTAGCGATTAAATGAGACCTTAACTATATGCTATACAACCATTTCTTGAACAACGAATCTTTTGCTCTACTGAATCAAGTTTCCTAACTTAACTGTAACACTTTCGCCATCTTTTTGAGAGAAATTTCTAAATACCTGATGAAACTAAATAAAATAAAATATTTGTGAAAAAGCATAATGGAAAAAATAAAAGCGAAGAATGAAAACCAATTTTTCATAGTTTTGAATATTTAAAAAAAATATTTATAACTATTAACTCAAAAAGAAAGATAGCATATCTATTACGCATGAAATCAAATCACATGTAGAGAATCAAAAAATTTTCAAAAATCACAATATGTATAAGAATAAATTAGTAATATTATGTACATAGAAATCACTCCATCAAAACAAACTACATTATTCTAACACTTATATGCAGAACATAGTATTTACAAAAATATTAGAAATAATACCAAGCAATATATTCTGAATAACGTAAAGATAAACAACGACACAAATTAAAAAGTTTGGAGCAACTATTAGATGTCAACCTTTAATATCTGTAAAGCAAACAATTCATGTTCAAAAGGACTGCATCGAATCATAATCAGGGAGGAGTAAAAATGAGAAGAATATGGAAATAATTTCATGTTTGCGCAAATGAAAACAGCTGAGATCCAAAGAATAATATGAAAATATAAAACATCGATGAAAGCTTCCGATTCATCTATAGAATGCTATATCTTCAATAAAGCTACGCATGGATGTCAGCATGAAGTCATGAAACGATTTGGATAGAACGCAAGACCTTCAACGGTATCATCACGACAAAGTTTCGCTTGAGCCTCGGCAGCAAGTAATCTTAAAGATAATATCATGAGTTTACAAATTATAATGCAAAACTTCCGCACAACTCCTAATGACATCTATGCAAAATTTCCTAGCAACACCGCATTTGCAATATTTTACGTATAAATTTTCTCTGGACACACTGACATTAGCTCCGCATACAAAAATGCCAAAATCTTTACAGGAATATACATATCCGGGTATTCCTAGTTCTCTTGATTACTAACTACAAGCTATGAAAAGAAAAACAATTTTTTAAAGATTCCAAACATGACGAAAAAGATTTCACCTCTCCTTTGCAAGGATGATTGTGATACCGAGACACTTGGCCAGCTTAGTAGCATTACAAGTGCCCATAGCGGCTACTAACTCCACAGTGCCTTCAATAGTGGTCTCCACACTCATCTCTTTCAGCTGCACAACCATAACACCACTTTCAAAACGATTCAAACTGTAATAAATTTTTCCATCCTTTCAAATTATTTCTCCCTCTCCCTCCAAAAAAAAAAACCTTCCAGAATTTCTGCTTAGCATATGACAAATTTTATATTGTTGATAGCTATCTCTGTTGAAACGCATATAAAACCAAAAAAAAGATGTTTCAGTAGTTTTTTTTTTCATTTTTTTGAAAGTAACTATTGAGATGACCAGTAAAAGACGAACTTATAATAATTAACTTACGATATAGGTAAATTCATTTGTTCTAACATCTGACATGCATTCAAAATGTCCTCCGGTGACAAGAGTTCTAAACCACGAGCTCTGTTAATACGACAGTATACGTCTGATAAAGTCATCATACCACCACATTCCTGGACCGTACACAGCACATTACCATAATATGATGAATGTATTTAAACATACAACGTGTTGCTCACATCAAAAATTTAAGTGATTGAACCTTAAGAGGAGCACATAACACTGTAGATAATTCTTCCGCAAGTTTTTTGTAGTACTCAGCACTGCTACCAAATGCGGACTTTGTCACTGGATCGCTAACGCCCAGACTAAGCAAGTAGGTCTTGAAACGTACAGTCTGAAATTCAGAAGAGTATTCAATACACTGACTTAGAAAACAAAACCAAGGATGAGGATCACTCACTTCATCGTCGGTTATATCTCCTTTTTTTGCTCGCAACTTATCAGTGATCGCTTTTGAAAGTGACACCATCTCTCGCGCATATTCCATCAATCGATTCATATCTTCAAAAGCCTAAAACAAATTTCGTTCAGCCTAAACTGAGAAGCTATCACCCTCATTATGTAATAGACACACGCAGTACCTGACTTATGCTTTCATGTGTACGATAATGATTCTCAGCAAGCCTTTTTTCAATGCCCGAGATGCCTACGGCTCGTGGTGTCGAAGGGTTGCTACTGCGTAACTGAAATAAGTAAAATATTAGCCATAAATCGTAAGACGAAAGTAGTTTTCTTATTTACAAATCACTATTATTCAGAAGCAGTACATTTCTAGCTGAGCATGTCTTCTTACTAAATCCCATTAAGCTTTTACTGTCTCGAATTTTTTTAGGTTCGTATCCCATTTTGTAACAGAGTAATTTAACTCAGCGGACGAAATCAAGTTTGAAAATTAAGGCATACAGCGACAGAATTTGACAGTGAGCATCCAGAAGGTAATCGTTCCCATGTATTCATTCCCAATGCTTCCTTGTATTTTTCATAGAACTGCAAAATAAAAATCACTGCATAAAATGAAGAAAATAAAATAACAATCACTCAAAAACATAGATAAGTGTCTAATAAGTTCTTCAACTGTCCCGAAAAAAAAATCTAATAAGTTCTTCAAAAATAGAATAGAACAGCTTTGGGTTTTAAAGAAATCTGGAATGAAATTCTGAACTCCAATAACATAAGGAGTTGTAAAACTGACAACTGTTCTCCACAACTTCAAAACCTTCCCATCATGAAAGGACAAGGTACATTGGACAGCATGTTCCCGAAAATAATTTATTTGCTGGTGCTACGGCAGGCATCTGTTCATAAACAGGAACCATACGATATTCACCTCGTCTTCTCCACCATTTCGAAAAACAAGGCGAATATAATTAAAAGAAGAAGAAGCGAAAGGGCCTCGTTGTTGCCCGGGTGGTTTAGGATGCAACGAAAGGATGATTTTGCCACCTCGACGGAACATCGACTTATGATGCTTCTCAATACCAGCTACCAATGAATGATGCAAAATTAGCCGATGATCCTGTAAAAAAAAATGAACGCAATTTTGGAAATCATTACCTTTTGAAAATAATTTACCAATGAAAAATATGGGAATAGAGCGAGTTTTAAAGAAATGAACTCAACTACAGTAAATCTCACACATTCCCTGAGAATATAAATTCACATCAATATCAAAAAAAAGATCGAAGTAAAATTTAATGTGTATAACTTCTGGCTGGTTTAACAGATATGGTACAAAATTAATGAAAAAGAAATGCAAAAAAAAAGCATAAAAATGCTCACCGGATCATTGGAATCAGCCCAGATGATACGATGCAATGTAAGGGAAGCAGTTCCCTGTTCATATGTTGTCTAAAATTATTCAAGGTTTTATAATTTATTTTTTCAAGAGATAAAAAGAAAATATCATAGAAAGACTTAATAATTCACCTGTTTCACGTCTCCATCGTATATGCCCACGTGACCACTTTGAATAATTATATCTTCCATATACTCTCCTGGTTGGTACCACGTCAATCTGTCCATTGTACGCGCGACGACCCAACGACGAAGTAGCACACATGCAAACTTGCATAAAACACATAGGACGAGATAATCGAAATATAACACGGCCCTTAGATGAAACGTTCTAACACAAATTTTATTAAGTTCCGATGGGTGATTTGCAATTAAGGATTTTTGGAAATAAGATTTGTTTTGGATGATTCTCAACTGATTCGCATTTGCATCCGTACTATAAAGTAAGAAATCTCGATGCATATTTGGAACTATTGTCACAAGACAGGAACGCACAAAAAATACTGAATTGTGACATCCCTAGCGCTTGTTTGGATTAGTGCTTTAGCATCATTACTATTTCCTTAAGTAAAACTAATCCTTTTCCTCTTTCCCCTGAAAGAATAAATTCTTAAACTTCACGGCGATTTAGAGACTGAACTTTTGCAAATCAACAAGGCTGGTCTCCGAAGTTATACAAATTAAAAATCAATGGATGATCATCATCTATTTACCATTTCCATCAATACTTGGTTAACTGGGCAGAAAATGTGGCGATCCTCATTTTCAGACGGAAATGTCTCGGACATTTCAAGAGAAAATCTTGAAATCGTTAGTATGCATGAAAGCATAGCTAACATCTATACCTCAGTAGTTTCAAAATTTCGGAAAATGCAAAAGAAGTTGCTCGCATAACGCAAACTGTTTTTGACGAATTTTTGTTTCGTAATCTGAGTAAAAAAATGTGTATTGATTTCTCGAAACATTATTATCAAATACTTTTTGGATGCGCCAAAAAAAGCTAATAGCCAAGTCACAATTCATTCCGAAGGAAGATAGATTAGCAAAGAATACACTTTTCCACGTTCTCAATACTAACTACCAATCAGATATTTTCGGTTGTTTTCATTCTTTATGTGTCATCTCATTACTTCTCATCTTTGCATTGCCAGTCATTAGCTTTCCGTGCTTATTCCGTATACTTTTCTATGATTCAGAAAAACAGGACAATTAAAAATTTTTAAAAATGAGACGTGACACTTGCACGTCCTATTTTCAAATAAGACATACAAGTTATATGTGCAACTTTCAGAAAATCTTACTTGGATAACTTTACTTTCAACAAAAAATAACATTCGCATTGCACAATGTACATTATATTGTATAAATACTTTAAAAAATGCAGAAGTTAATTATACTCTGCAAAGGAAGAATTCAGTCACATAACACTTCTCTGTATGGCATCTGGAATCTCTCCTTTATGATCTTTAAGCATCGGTCTAGCCTCGTACGTTGCAATACATATCTGTAAAATTATTTCACGTTATTAAATCTCACAGAAACATAAATACGATATTCACTGAATGTCAACCAACAAGATAATTAAACAAACAGCTTAATGTTTAACATTTTAACATCATTAACTTTTTTCATTAGCTTCACAAGCAAGTGAATTTGGTGTGAATTTGCATTGCTTTCATTAACATTCTTCACAAAGATAAATTATTTCAGGTTTGTTTAAGACTCAATAACAGTCTACCTGTTGCCTTATATCCGCAATATACTCGCCGCGCAAGCCGATATAGTAAATCCGAGTTTTGTTTTCGCCAAAATTAGTTGGGAAATGTAAGCTGAGATGCGTCACATTTGAAAATTTTGAGGCCTTCATGGGATAATCTATTTGCGCGCCAGTGTCCTGTTTTAGTGCAAATTCTTGATCAGCTTCTAAAGCCATCGCTTCAAATGACATCTAAAAAGTATCACATACTCGAAAACGGTGATGTTTTTTCTCAATAAATAAGAAATCGAACATCAAAAAAATTTACCATATCTTCTTTTCTGTACACAGGAACAAAACGGTGCTTGGAGTATTCGAATCCCTTTACAATTTTTCCAATAATTATATCACCCAGATATCCATGCTCTAACATTTTTGATAAGTAATCAAAAGCTTCGTCTATTGCGTGCGTCGTTTTTAATTTGATCAAGCTTTTTATATGTTCAAACACTTCCACTACTAAACTTTAAAAAAAGATAATACCAAGAAAAAATTTACTGATGGTCGGTCTTTATAGAGTCGTATGTGTGATGGATGAGTACCATCTAAGTCGCCAGCCAGCACAAGACCGGTTATTTTTACATGTCCTTTGAAAGGTACATTGAATAATAGCTCTTCATCAACGTCGCTTTCTACGTAAATAGTCCTGAAAGTTTTCTAACTACTCTTTAACTGATCTCAATATAGCTTTATTAAAATTTATACAATAATTTTCTGCTCATTACAACAAATATAGAATTCCATGTTCTCTAATGCAGACATTCTGCTAAAAACTCACCTATCCAATCGATCCTCCCATTTCTTGAAAATCTTTGCACCAGAACCTTCAATTGCTTCATTCAATACTACTACCTGCAACATATCTTTTGATATTGTTCGAAATAAGATACAAGCAAAGGAATTAATGCTTTTATCTATATCCAAGTATACAGTTCTTTGCATTAAATGCACATACATTTAGACCAATTTGAAAAACAACTACTCTTACATCATTGTTGAGTTTTGCAATAAAGAATGACAACCTTTTGGAGATCAATGAAAGAGTTGACCGTGTAACGCATCCCTTCTTCTTTCCGCTCAAAATTAACTTCATTTGCACAATGACAGTTAGAACCCATGATTCTACAAAGATTTTACCTCATGAACTCTACTAAAAAAATTGATATATTATCACTACAATAGCACAGACCTGTAAATATTGTTCGGACGAAATGCGTACATCAAGCAAACAGTAGCAAATAGCAAAGAAGTTTTAATTTTATAATTCCGCATATATAGATAATTTATTATAACCAACCGGCAGACAATTAGAATATCAATGAGATTCTATAAGAAAAATAACAACATGTACACCATTCAATCTATGAACTTGGCCTATCACATAAAAAAACAAAATAATAAATATAAAAACAATGAAGATAAGAATTAAATAAATAAATAAATAGAACACAAAGAAAATAATGCAGCATGTCTCATTTGAGGAAAAGTCGACAGCTGATTATCAACTCTACCTTATACGTGATCACTGCGGATTATAAGGGTAAAAAATAAAGTTATAACAAAAAAATTCGTACAAAGATAGAGATTAACGAAACTATGGAATGGCACTTGCTTCCTGGAAGAATACTAAAAGGAAAAGAAGCATCAAAACGTTACCTATTACACATATGTTGATATATGAAGCACTAATACCATTGTCTTGCAACCAGCAAATGTTATGCAAAACAAAGAAAAAACAAGTGCATTTGTAACAAAATTTAGTAAGCTAACTTCTCCCGTGATTAAGTTTTCTAAAGGATTTCCATTTAAGATTACATCCTAAAAATTTTAACAGAATATCTTACATAAAAATGTTCTGAGAGGGTAGATAAATATTAGGATATGATAACTGGAGTATGATATTCCTTGATTAATAACTTCTCAGCCGAAAAGCTTTTCCGATGTGCAATTCGTAAATCGGGTTGCAGTTTGTCCTCATAGATTCGGCTGAGTGCCTACAAAAAATCCAAAAACAATAATCCATGTTTGAAAAATGTGCCAATAACATTTTTTCAACTAAAATGATCCTGAGCCAGTTTGTCTACTCACATCAATATTTACTATTCATCATGATGTTTGATTGTTCAATGTAATGTCTTCCAATACAGTGAAACTTCAAGTCATATACAGAGATTCCCTAAGACTTAATAGATTTTGTTTAATCTACATAGTACTGCTTCTACACACACTGTTAAATGCATGCTACGTAACAGACAATGAAGCAAATTGAAACCTCTAGCTTCCTCGCTCGTTCCTTATATAATGGTTGCAATGGTAACTGTAAATCATTAGCCATGGCCAGTGTTCTTAATTCGTAATAATATTTG